TGGAATTGCAGCAACCACCTTTCCTGAAAGGAAGAGGCTGTAGCAGTGCAGTAGAGTAGTCAGTTTAAGCGCACGCTGGCTACACTGCAAGAGGCAGCAGGTATTGAGATGTTTTCACCTATGCCTAAAGCTTTTTCCCATTTCTGGGGTCCAAAATGGAAGCTCTAACATGCAAAACTGAGCTGTTCCAGCTGTGACTGGTGTCAGTCACTTGTAAGTTGTGGCTGCTGTGACAAGCTGCCAATCACTATGTAGCTCTGATGATGTTGGTGGGTAAAAGAGCTCTGCTAACCTCAGAGGGCAGCTTGCCTGTGCCTCCCACAAGGGTGGGTTGTCACTTACAGCATGCAGACAACATCCCTCTGTACAACTCCAGCCCTGAGTCATGAATTGTGTTGCTCCAAGACTTGCTTTGCCTTCTCCCAGGATAGGCAGTAGCTGCTTCTTACAAGGCAGAGCATGCTTGTATAAAGAACATCCTACTTCAAGAATAAAAGTGGCATCTAGAAATAGGTGTTATTGCATCATTTTAGAAAATACTGACTAACTGCATGTTTAATCAAGTAACATGACCAAGCAGGCATGCCCAAAGGTGATATGAATGATCCGGTCATACGAGCTCTTTCCACTCAGCTAAAGAGACACAGCAAGTGGCAGGACTCCAGCCCAAGTAAGTGCGTGCTACACCACAGAGACCGTGGTTGTCTCTGTGTCTTTAAGGACTCAGTTCTGGCTTTCTGCTCCTCTTCAGCTTCCTGTCCTTCAACCGCATGGACTCATTCATAGCAAGGTGACCCACACAGGAGCCTGCACAAAGTTACAATTCTGTGCTCTGAGCCAGCAGCTATTTCCAGCAGTTTCCCTTACGTTAAATGTTTAATTCAGTGGTGCATAGTATACTCCAGCACTTCTTGGAAGGATTTAGAAAATAATAAAGTGTTGCCACCCACTTGTTACAAATGCTGCATGGACTCCTTAAACCCAGTAACTATATGTTTTTATCTCATCTCAAATGCAGGCATATCTCAGCTCTAAGTCATACGAGGTAGGGGGTGAACACTTCCTACTTTTATAAGCCTGTTCACTGGGACAGAGTACACAAGTCAGACACCAATTGCCATAAGCTTGGAAAGGGAGCAGAAGGGAGCTGGAGAAGGACAGCAGTCTACCTGAGGGAGATGCGTAAGTCAGTCATACTGACAGATTAGACAGGACTGGTTATTTTGAGTCAGATACTTGCCAGCAACAACTGGGAAAGTTAACCACCGCAGCACAGATGTTAAAACAGTGCTTTGCCTTAAGCAAATCACAGCCTACTGCTGCATGTTACATTAAACCCAACAGGTCAACATAACTCTTTTTAGCACCATTACAGGTCAGGAAAATACATTTATGACATGCAATGTACCTAGTGCAGAATCTGCAAGATGGAGATAGTTCTGCTGGTCTAATTCAAGCAGCATGTACACATCTCTATAAAATCACCTGAATTTAAAAGATTACAAATCCTAAACTGGAGTTGAGTTCCTAAAATTAGGTCACTGATTTGGCCCTGCTCAGACCACGATGTGATCTACAGGTTTTTGATCATTTATTTAAATGATCCTTAAACAACCTTTTGTTCTCCATCTGCTAGAAGGTATCAGTAAGAATCTATTTGTTTCATCATAAGTTTCCGGCTGTACTCATAGGCAAGGAACAGTGCCCCGTTGGCCAGGAATGCTCGGATCATAGTTGGCTTTAGTCCAGAATACAAGGCAAGTACACCTGGAAATGAAATCGGAGCCAGTTAGCAATTTATTAAAATGCCCATCTATCTGTATCAACCACTGTGCTTTTACCTTCAAAGGATACTGAAGTAATGCTTCTGCTTAGAGGGGCACGCACACACGGAGAGCTGAACTCACTGGTGTAGCGGTGTTACTGGATATTGATATAGAAGGAGCATCTAGAGTTGTAACATGAGTTTAGCCATTTAAGTGCTTATGTTAGAAGCTTATCTCAGGTATGACAGGGTCTTCAGAAGGCTACCTTGGTCACCTGAGGATACAGCTCACAGCAGCTGTACCACAGCTGGCAAGGGGACAGAAAGAACAGCAGGCTATGCTGGAGCTGTGCCCCAAGACAGACTCCTGCTCTGATGAGTATCTTCCCTAGTAACAGGGCCGGGATTTGTATCTGCTGCCATGTACATTCTTACACCATCTTCTGAAGTGCCTGGCGTAGGCCTTTTCCAGAGATGAGACACTGAGGTAGATGCCCCAGGTTGCCAGGCTAGATAGATAGGACTGATTTATGAAACAGCCCTCAGTCAGCCATATATTAACTTCTAGAAGTGAAGAAAAATTCTGTACTGAACTTAACCGGTTCCTTCAATTTCCATGTATAAGTTTGGTCATGGGTAATGGAGCTCATTCCTTTATCTGCTTTTAATGGATACTGAGCGTTTGTTAGCTTTAAGTGAATTGTCTCCTGAACCAAAAGGCATAGCAGATACAGTAGGTCTCAATTTCTGATTCCAAGCTTTCCAGACTACATGAAGCATCAATATTTCTGTTTGTTAGAAACAGTTACTATCCGTCTCTAACACATTATCACTGGACTAGATTTCTTAAGCAATCTTTGGTGTTGGAGAGTATAGATTTCAATCTGCAGCCCTACAGATTCAGTTGATGTGCTGCATACTCACCTTCAGTTCTCACAACAGTTACAAATGTTCCCATAAAGCCTGTCTGTTTTCCAGCCATTGAAAGAACCTGGATTCTAGATTTGACACAGTCCACAGGATACACAGCAATCCACAGACAGCTGCCTCCAAAACCTCCGCTTAGCAGCAAAGGAATGGGACCTAAAGTTAAGAAATAAGCTTTTATACACACCACAAAATATTCACCAACACAAATATCACATTATTTCAACTACAAAAGTCAAAGAGAACACAGAGGAAACTACTTAAGACAGAAGAGCAGTTTCTGCTCCCCCACAAACCTTTAAGTTAATTTTAAGCCACTGCTAAGTTGCAAGTCTAACCAGAAGCTCAAAGGTTATAAGGAGTGCCTCTTAGATTATTGGCCACGCTAAAAAAGCACAACTCGGAGTTCTGTTTTGACTGTATTAACTAAATTAACTCCACTGCTTTCACACTCGTAATCACCTTCCGATGCTAATTGTGAAATGGTTTAGAGTAACATCACGTAGGGTCACTAATCACCTGTAGGGATTGATTTGGTACAGTGAAGTTACTTTGTGATCAGTCATTTTTCATGATGCAACCTCATGTTGTGTTTCAGATCAGATGTTTATAAACATTTTGCAACAAAGACCAGAATGCATGCAGTTGAAATCCTACCTCACAGCAAGACAAAGTATGATTGTGCAGTCTTTCAATGGGAGACAAGCAATCTTTATTCTGGCATCTCCTCATTTTTTTTATGTCTAATTTTCAATCTCAGTGTTCTCTTACTATCATTGTGATGACAACTAATGGTCAGCATACATTTTAGCATACACTTGAACATACGGTTCAAGAGAATACAGCTAAAGACATCAAAATTGCTCTGAACAGCCGCTGAAATGAAATAGTTCAGAGTTGCGTTACACTGTGGAGTCAGATATTTAAGTACTTTTGTAATATTACTGTTAGCTCACTGTGTTTATTTGCCATCTACAATACATCCTGCTCCATTGGAAAGTAGTCACTTCAATTACTATATATTCATTCACTTCATTACTATAGTCACTTCATTACTATATATACACAAAATGCAGACCTCTGTATTCTGTATGTCCGGTTTCCTTCATTTTACATGTATTTTACAACTGCTATGCATTATTAGTATATCTTCCTCCCTTATGTCCCCCACAACAGCATGCTACAATCCACCTGGAAAAAGGGGCATCGTACCTAATTCATCTTTTGATCTCCCAGAGGCAAAGAATGTCCGGCTCAGTTCATATCCTCCAAAGAAAAAGAAATAGCCTGGGACTTCCCGCAGCAAAGTGCTTGACAGGCCACGGTAAAATCCAAGGGGACCATCCTTTTGAATAACACCCTTCACTACTGACCAAACTGTACTGATAGAGAGGTTGATCCAGTTAGTGATCCTTAATAGCCAGATAAGAAGAAGGTTACAGAACAATAAGCAACTGCAGCTACAATTAAGGGTTAGATCCATTGTGTAGACAACAGGACTCACGTAAGACTTAGAACAAGATCCTGCCAGGAGGCCTTCACTGGCCCCCAGCTTTTCTAGTACCTGGAAGATCTCCAGGCTGCGACCCTCCCAGCCACAACTCGTCTCTGGTCAACAGTGCACTATAAATGTGACACTGAGCCAATAGAGGATTAAAAATAATAAATACATACAGAAGGGTTTCAGAGATACTGGGCAGGGTGTATACTTACTTGTGCCCCTGGATTATCTTTCCTGACAACTGCATTTCATGCATGGCCTGCAGCCGGCACTTCACCAGCTCTGTTGGGCAGAGGACAAGGGTGGCAAAGGCAGAGGCGAAGGAGCCCGCGGCAGCGTTCTGCAGATCACTGCAAGAGAGAAACTGCAGAAGGTATTTGGGCACTGACCTGGCAGTGCAGTGGAGCCACTGCACCAGCAAACAGCTTCCTGAACCTGTACTCTAAATATCATCAAGAAAAACTGACGGACAGTCTTGGGGGGAAGAGTCTCAAAGGAAAAGGGCAGTTACTTGAACTAGGGGAGATGAAAAACCTAGCTCATCCCACCTTCATACACAACTCAAATATATCCTTTTGACAGCTGAGAACATATATTGCAACCTTTACCCTTCTTGCTATACTTTAGTTATTGCAGCAGAATAAACATTGTCAAATCTTCCTCTTCTTGGCTTTTATAAAAATTGCCATAGACTTGTTTTACTGGGCAACTTTTGGGTACTAGTTACTTCCTCAAAGAGAATAGGAGCAATAATCACCTCATATAGATGTCAGTGTTCTCAAATTCACCTTACCAGTATTAACACAGGTTTTCAGTGAAAGATGCTAGAAATCTGAAATCAAGGCACAATGGACCACTATAATCTTTCTATTGATGTGCTGCCAGGAATACAACCATGTGAATCAGAGAGCGCAGACAAACATAAACCGCGCCACTGAACAGGACAGCACTGTAATCTGCATTGACTCACAGTATTCCAAAACTGGGACTTACTTTGTAGTGGTATTACACATATCGCAAAGTCTGGGCTGCTAAACTGCCAGGACTCAAAAGGCTGGTACTCCAGGATTGTACTGCTTTATGATACACTTTAAACAGGCTCCACAGACACCGGTGTGTTGGACAGGAGCTGCACAATAGCACAGAACAAGTGGAGCTTCTCTCTTCTTTCAGAGCCTGGGAAGTCAGCACAGCAGAGACTGACTGCACAGAATCACTGCTGCACAGAAATTCTTTCCATACAAGGGAGATGTTTGCCCTGTGCCCAGCAGTTTTATACACCTAAGTATCAGAGATTAAAGCTATAACTTTTCACCTTACAGAAGCATCACGGAACTAAAGTTGTGACATGAAGCAAAGCTTGTAACGTATTCAGGTATGACAGTGACAAGAACTGTCAAAAGTGGAAGAAATCAGCAACTGGCTGCAGAGCAGGAACTGAATAATATGCAGTAAATAAATGGCAACATTGATTGCACAACCCTTTTGCAGCACACAAAGCTTGGCTTAACAGGATCTGAGATGCAACCCAATCAAGCTCAAGACAGAGCAAGGCAGAGTTAAAAATACAGTATATGGCTGAGCCCTGCAGTCCTTAAGTTATGAGCTAGAGCAAGGCAATAACGTTACACATTAGGATAAGAAAATATCGAAGAGGTGCCTTAAAGCTATGCACTGAAGGACGCACAGGATCCTTTCTCCTTCAGGGGAGAAAAACACCCAGATGCTATCAGACTTGAAAAGAATTCTGACACATGTACATAAAGGACTAGATTTAGCCATAATTCAGATCTTTTCTACTTTTGCCTGTTGATGTTTAATTCTACATACAAAAATGCAACTACACCCACTGTTTAGGGTTTGGTCTTTAATATAGTGAACCTCACTGCAGAAGCGATAAGCCTTGAATCCCATTCAAGTTCCCTCTCAACTCAAAATGCCTAATTCAGTATTTTTCTGGGTCAGAGAGTTTTGATCACACAGCACAGGAGCAAGAATCCTCTCCTCTTACACTGCTGCTTCCTCTATAAAAGGCATTTATCTTGGTTTTCAAAGAAAATAACCTGCTGAAGATGACTAGTCACGTACTAAGAAAGTCAAACTGAGGTGAACGAGGATAATAGTTCTCTCAGTTTAGACTTTGGCACAGAACAAAATCAGTTTGGTTGGACAAAATGAGCACTTAAAGACAAACTGAATTTAGCACTTCTCTTTCCATTTGGTTGTCTCAGTTCAGACTTTAGCACGGAATGAAATCAGTTTGGTTGGACTCAATGGCTGTTAAAAGATAAATGGAATTTAGCATTTCTCTCTCCATTTGTTTTCTTTTTGACTCATGCATCAATGGCGTGTATTCCTTTAACTAAAACACTGTTGTTTTGTAACTGTCCTTGTAACTGTTTTGCAAGGCTTCACACACTGACCTACACACAGGCAGGCTAGGCAAGTTTATTTTCAAGCCATTTAAAAGTATTACTGAAAAGGTAACTTAAAGCAAAACCAAACTATTATAGCTGGTTTTGAGAAATCTCAAACACTATAAAATAATGAAAAAGTGACAAGCAATTGCTTAGATATGGGTAAGAAAAATGGTCAGGTTCACCTCCGTTTGCGACTTTACACATTTTCTTCTTCAGGCTAAGACAGTATGACAGTTTTTAAACAGCAGAGGCAATGAAGGTAATTATAGTTCTTCACTTGTCATGTCTGGAGGGTAGCCACCTCATCAGGGTTTTTTCCCCTCCTCTACAGCACATTACAAAGGCTTCTCGACGCTTCCACAATAAGAACGGGTGGACACATCCTGGACAGACCACATGTACTCAGGGCACCACTGCAGACCACGTCAATACAATTCTCTCATATATGCACCTCGTAAGATGCCCCCACAATGATCCAGATGAACAGACCAATGGAGCAGCACCAAGGGAGAAATCTTTCAAGTAAACTTAAATCCTTTAGTGTTTTGTCCTAGTACAGTCATGCAGTCACACTATTTGCTCTTCAATCAACCATGAATTAAACAGCCATCCTCAATCTGAAAAGTACCAGTACCTGACCAAGGAAAGAAGGGTAAGATGTCAGAGGCCCTTGCTATTGCTACATATTCAAATTACATTCCCATTCTGTATCCTACTCCAAAGATGAGGAGTAGTACACCTATGTACACTGTTTGAAAGTTTCCTGCACTACCTCCCCTACATACACCCTAAATATGCTGTCTCAGTCACTTGAGATGATCCTAGGACTTCTGCAAGTCCATGGTCTACCTCTCAGGAGGATCACAAAAGATGATTAAGAAGTGAAGCATGCTGTTGGTAGGCCTACCTCCTACATTTTAGTGGGTAGAAAAAGATAAGGGATCTGTAAGCTGAGCAAGCAGAAAATCCCTGATCTAAGAAAGTAATAAAAAAGGTGGAAACAATTCTGTCCCAGCTGAGAGGTCTCAACTGCCAGAAAACAGTGAAAGAGAATGCCAGTAGACAGCAATTAATGTAAGTTCATCACTTCATATTCCCTCATAGCAGGCCTCAGTCTTAAGATACAGCACATCTTAACACGTGACAGAACCTCTCACGTAATGCCACTTTTAGATACTTGTCTTGCACTTAGGTAGCTACCCATGTCATGTCAGAGATCTCAAATGCAGAATCATGGCCTCCTCAGCTACTTCCGTTTGGAGACAGATGTAACAGAGGTAAAATGAAGCTGTTAATAAAAAGCTGAATGTGGTTAACCCTGCATAAGCTGAGCAAGCAGAAAATCCCTGATCTAAGAAAGTAATAAAAAAGGTGGAAACAATTCTGTCCCAGCTGAGAGGTCTCAACTCAGAGAAAGTTTTCAACACTGCCAGAAAACAGTGAAAGAGAATGCCAGTAGACAGCAATTAATGTAAGTTCATCACTTCATATTCCCTCATAGCAGGCCTCAGTCTTAAGATACAGCACATCTTAACACGTGACAGAACCTCTCACGTAATGCCACTTTTAGATACTTGTCTTGCACTTAGGTAGCTACCCATGTCATGTCAGAGATCTCAAATGCAGAATCATGGCCTCCTCAGCTACTTCCGTTTGGAGACAGATGTAACAGAGGTAAAATGAAGCTGTTAATAAAAAGCTGAATGTGGTTAACTCTGCATAACTCTTCGAATGAATGGAGTTAGGACAGTCTGAGAAGTCTTTTACACACTGTGGGGCAGCACAAGGATGGAGAAGGTGCAGCTACTCTCAGTGCTGCATAGAAGACATACCTTGAGAAATGCATAACAGTAATGCACACTGAGACAGCTGGACCACTGACAGCTCTAAAGTGATACACCTGGAGAAAAGCCATCCTAGCTAGAAAGAGATTATGATCATTACACCGGTGCATAAATCCACAACTTGTTCACACCCTGAATACTCTGCACTGCTCTGGTCTCATGAGCTCAAACCCAGATGCATTAGAATTACAAGAGTTTCAGAGAAAGGCAACAAGGACAGTTAAAGGAACAGCTCCCAAGTGCTCACTGACTAGGAGGGCTGGGATCCTTCCACCTAGGAAAAGACTCAGATGGGGAAAAGGGGCATGGAGCACTGGATAGAGATCTACAAAACCCCAAGTGGCATAGAGACAGTGGCTAAGGACCAACTGCCTCTTCCAGTTACATAATTAATGATTATCACCTGCAGAACTCCCTGCCAAAGTGTACTGCAGATGCAAGGAACTTGTAAGAATTTGTAAGACTGGACAAGTGCTCCAAAAGAGATCCAAAGTCACTGACTGGATCACACCAGGCTCAAGAAATCCTCTGAACTAAGAACGTAGCCTGGCAGAGGACTCAGAGTAAATACTAAACACTTTCTTCTTTCTCATTAAGGAGGCAACAACTTATTGCCAGTACTGTAGACCACACACCGTGCAAAATTAGACCCTCAGTCTAACCACCGTTACATTCAAGCTTTTGAAACTTAAATAAATTTAAAAAGCAAGGCAATATTAGAAAAGTGTCCTTTCCCCTAAGTATGCCTCCCGGTAAGAGGAACCATTACCTCCCCTGCAAAATCAGAACAACCTAGAGATCAAGGGAATACCAACTTTCAGATGCTGCAATGCTCATTCCCTTTGGTAAGATGTTCCAGGTCTTGAATATTCTAATTAAGTTGTGATTATCTAAACCAGCCAGCTGCAGTGACAAGTAGATGGCTCAGTCGTAGTTAGACACCATATCTCAGCACAAAGGTCTATATTCCAAAACTTACTACGCTGCAAACCGGCAGAGGAGGGCCTGGGACATCAGTTGCACCCTGACAATACAGTATTTGCAGGTAGCAGTCACATGACTTTTCATTTATTTATTTTAAAATATGGAACAGATTTCTATTACTAACCTGAGCTTTGTTTTCCTGTCTACTCCAACAATTCTTCTCACAATTTGTTGGCAAAATCCATAGCACATGAAAAGAACTGAGTTCTCCGCGATGTTGGCTACAAGCGCTGGTGTGGTTCCCTTGTAGAAGCCTCGAAACCCCACTTGCTTATAGGTTTTCACAAAACAGTCAACAATTCCTTTGTACATGTCGGGGAACGTCTGCATCTTCACCTTTGCGGTGTCAAAGGGCTGGCCAGTCACCACACATGCTGTCCCACCTAAGCAAGCAGTGGAAGTTAAGAGGGTGGTTAAAGGTTATCACAACTGAAACGCCTATACACAAACAGCACTATTAGGAAAATCACGCAGAAAGCAATGATGAATGAATTCTCCGCAGGAAAAGACAATTGCACTGATTTTAGCACAATGGCATCAATTGTCAGTGGTGAATTTAGTTACCTGAAGAAAAAAAATCATGCATAACAGCAGTAACAGCTTGATTCTCGTTCAACATTACCTTACTAAAAGCAAGCATCTAAATTAATCAGTTCACTTGCATAAATGGGTACTGAATTAGCGGTATTGTTCTGCAATCAAGTCACTTGTGTTAATGAGTTAAGCAAAATTTTCCTTTGCTCATTAATGCAGTGGTTTAGAAGCCATCTGATTTTATGTTCCAGCAACAACAAAAAACTGAAAGATTTATAATCAAGTGAGACAAAGATTCCCCCAGGACAAGAGAGAAACTGCTGAGAGAGTGCTAAAACTGATGATGCATGATAAATTGATAACAAAAGACTCAAGCTCTTTACTTCAAAACTCCAGATGATTCTTATTTACATTTATTCCCACATACTGGAAGAAAGCATCCAGGATAAGCTGAAAAAGGGCAAAGTTTCTCAATGTGTTATCTTTTCCAAATTGAACTGCAAGGTCAATACCCTGAAAACTTGTGAGATATTTCCATGAATGCCATCAATAACCACTCTGCCCACAGTGCAGTGTTCTTCCACAAGATCTAACCCAATTCAGTAGTCTGCGGAAAGAGCTAACATTATACTTTTTCAGTAAGAAATACCAGTGGACACTGACAGCAATCTACTAGACGCCAATACCTAACAGGAAGCATATGATAGGTGTACCTTATATAAACTTTACAGTTTTGCTTTTTTAGCAAGAGAGAAGAACCATCCTAAAACAGAAGCTCATCCTTAACCAAAGCACAGTTGACATGCATATACCTTAAAGAGAGCACATTAACAAGATGTTTTTTCAGCTATGAAACTGAAATAATTATCTGTAAATACAGATTATGTAAAGAAACTGAAATAGAAACAAGTGTGTGAATCCAGTTAAGATTCGTTATTTTTCTTTCAGGTGGTAAGTAGGAGAGTAAGCAAGTGTTTGTTTAACCAAGGTGATTTTCAATTGATTTTATTCCTTGCAAACACATTTGTGTTACATTGTTGTTGCTCCTCTGCAAAGAGGTACCTGCAGGTCTTTAAGAGGAACTCAAGGCCCTAGCTCCCATAAAATCTCCTTCTCAACCAGATGGATCATTAAAAGCTTCAGAGCAAATCATGCAAGGAAAAATGAAGGGCTTCTTGCTCTGGGAGGGATAACCAAGGAGAGAAGTAGCTGGCTGAGAGCAGTAACATCCATGTAAGCCTCAGATGAAAACCAGAGCTAGAAAGGCTCAGCCAATGCTACTTGCAGGCAAGTCAGGTAGATATTAATCTACAAGACAAATGCCAGGTTCCTGTGTAAAGGTAGACCTAAAACATCCACATGTAGTAAAACAATGGCTGTTGGAAGAAGCCCAAGAAAACCAGGAATGGTCTTGGGAATGCAAAGCTGAAAAATTGGGAGTTGACTGCGAACGGCTGTTCCAAAAAGAGAAAGGGCTCTCCCTACACTGTCACTGGAGGTGGCACAAGAAGCCCAGTAAACTACAGCAATGAACTTTGTAAGCCTCAAGGTAAAGACCAAGAGTCCCAGTTAATATCTAAAATATTAAAGAAAAAAATAATTCTTCCAGCCAGCAGTAGAGTCTAAAAAAACAACAACAAAACCAGAACAAACTGGAAAAACAAAAAAGTCAACCTTGCTTGAACGTTTAGACAAATGTGGTCCTAATAATAACATGTGAACAGTGGGGAAAAGAGTCCTACGTAATCAAAGAAGTGATGAGAGGTTGCTCAGATCCTAGGCAAAGGACTACGACACACAGGCAGCTAAATTACATATTTATTCTTGTTCAGAATTTACTTGCCCCAATATGTCATTACTTATCAGCTAGTCAAGACTGTATCTAGAGAGGAAGGTAAAACCAGGTTACGCATTTGCTGGAGGAACTAGCTGTTTGCCTAGTTAAATACACTTTCTAAAGGGTGCAGAGACATATGTAACACAGAAACAAGCACTACCAATGAACACAGGCAATACAAAGCAAGTATGTGGAAAGAATATGGAATATAAATACTAGAGGAACAGTAAAACTATTTATTACAACAGAAGTAGCAAAGAAAAAGAACAAGAACAATGATTTAGGATTGCTGAAGTCATGTTGTAAAAGCTCTGAATTCCTTCATCTTATCTGAAGGAAGGAGAACTATACCAGAGAAAACAGCATAATTAGTTCTAAGATCCTCTAAGCTCTACTGCCAAAAAACTGGCAAACCTCAAGGGCATGGCCCTGTTAGCCTGAATGTGGGCATGGAACAGTTATCACCAAGCAACGGATTTCTAAGCTAATACTAGTTTCCAGCTCTTGTAGTAGCCAAGATGAGACACACCAGGCTTCAACTCAGAAAGACAACTTCCTAAGCCAGAGTGCTCCACTGCCCTGGATGTTAACAGCAGCATTCCTGAGCTGAAGTACCAGGAAGGAAAGCAATCACACCTCCCATTTAAGCACCTGAGAACGCCCGCAAAAACATCAAGAATGGCACAGATATTAAGTTGCTACTTTGGGAAACAGAGCAGATATAATAGCTATTCTTTACTGAGGACCCAAAAACCAAGGAGAACAAACAGACTAAGAGAACCATATTTTTTTTAAGGCAATGAAGGAATAATAGCAGAAACACTTCTCTTCCCTTGTAGCGAAAGAGGGTGTTGTCTAGTCAATAACATATTTTGCAAAGGCTAACAAAGCAGGTATTCACTGGACAAAATGTGATGGCAGATGAAATGCTTTACGAAGGGGCCACACTGGACTCATGTTATCTGTCACCCCTTGCTTTCTCACTGTGCTAAGGTTAACTCCACTCTGACACATGACCTCAAATAACTACCCTTGAATGCACTTAACACCATTAATACTGTCATATTCACAGCATTAACACCATCATAAAAGAACTGACGGCAATAGCTATTGTACAGGGCAAAAAACCAAAATTGTTTAAACTGGTTATAACAGTACATTAGACAAATCTTTCCTTCCACCTTTTCTGTATAAACATTGTCAGCTTAGAAATCTCAAAAAGTCCCTTTTCCCTGGTAGAGTTAGAAAACGATTCAACCCTCAGCCACGAACATTACCAACATGGTAACGTCAGCGAGACAATGCAGCTGTTTCCACATTTGTGACTGTTACAACTGGTCCAGCAAAACTTTATAGCACAGACTAGACCAAAGTGGAAGTTAGTTAAGCGAATTCATCATCATCAGTCCTACTACTGAGCTTCCCAGCTTTTAAAGCTTCACACCGGGATGTTGTCTGAGCCAATAACCCTTCAGATAGCCTCTTGCCTGTTTCAATTAGAGAGGGTTCCTGTGACAAAAGCAGCACCTCAATCACTCACACATTGTTTGAGTTCATTCCAAAACTCTACTTGTGACTGATTCTTAAACTCATGTAAGCATGAGAACTAACACTGAAATTTAAACCTCCTTCTGGAAAATTGTTAGTCTAAAATAAAGGTTACACCTTCACTGTTTGGCAGGGGTTTCACCAGGGAGGAGCGATAGTGATGCAGTTACAACACTGGCTGAGGTCAGCTGCTTCACCTCCATATCCTTAAAATACAGGTGGTGAGGCTTTTTATAGCATCAGGAAACTGCTTTTACATTTGTCAAAGCTATTAAAACTGTCCCTTAGAAGTTTTGTGCAATTAAGTTCTCTCCAGCATTACCTGCAGCTCCTGCTGTGAGGTCGATAGCAGCCTGAATAGCAGGGTTGATCCTCATGCTTCACACTTGTTTATCGGTCACTTCAGAGTGAAGTCTCCCGTTTCCTGGAGGTGTCGAGATACTTGTCTCCTGAGGGAAGAGAAAGATGAACCATATGCTATTTACAACAATAACTGACAGGCAAAAGCATCACATGAATGCTTTCACTTCCACTCTTTCATTTAGCTTGTTCTAAACCATTTAGACACAGAAAATGCTTGTCCCCAGGACCGAGAGGTAGCATATTTGTATTTTGACTGACTAGTTTTGCCACATTAGGCAAGTCCTCTGGAGTATCACTGCCTAGCTTCAGATTACCTGGGCTTTCCAGCTTCTAGTCTCCCTGGATCTCTCAAATGAAAGCAAAGAGTACCTCCAGGAAACAGTGTTGAGCACTACCTTTCTATTGATTATAGAAGCATAGTCTCCATCACATGATTATAGAAGCATAGTCTCCATCACATGTCTAAGGCTAGCTGCCAGGAATATGTCTCCCCTGTCTCAGCTCCCCACCTATAAAGCAAAACAGAGAATTGCTCTCCTTACGGCGAACAGCAGCTAAGAAAACTATATTCACAATGATACAGGCACATTAGGTATTTCTACGTGGCTCTCAGAAGACACGAGTAGAAGAGGAATTAATATGAACATCTAGAATTGTGTCTGGCTGTCATGTTCCCAGTGCAAGTCCCCCACACACCAGCATATTATAAATAAGGATTACACCTCATCTCTCAGGAAGGCAGCTTGAAAGCAGAAATACAAAGGTGACGCTTTCAAATACAACATTCAAATGAATTCAGTTCTTAAGTTTGCAGCAAGGTAATGTCACTGGGCAAGCAGTTAAAACAAGCTTGCTTATTCAGAGTAAGATCACTGAGCCAAAGATCTCCCACTGTTTCAGAACCGTGTCGCTGAGCTAGACGCTTGGCTGGCTGTGCTGTCAAAAAAGTTGCATGAGTCTTAAAAAACACACAAATACACACATGAATCAGCCCTTCATTGACTGTTAAGCTTGTCTTCAAGCAGACTACACCAGTAAACAGAACGGTTTTCGCTCTTCTACCTACTGTAATGCTTCTTTTGAAGCCCGTTGTCTCCCAAAATATACTTTGGAGTAATGTGAATGGGAAACATAATTTCCAGCAGGCTACGATGAAAGAATAATTAAAAAACCCCACGCTGTATGAACCACATCCTTTATACAACTTCTATGTTACAAGCACAGATACTTGCATACAAGCAAGGTGTTATGAAAGCCTGCCTCTAAACAGATTTGTTATTCCTGAAGTTTAAAAAAAACAGTAGGCCAAATACTGTCACTCAGTAACTTCACATGTCCAATCTGTTTAAGATGCGTTGCAGGAATCTGAACATAATAGGTTTAAAGAAAATAGTCACTACTCTTGTAATAAATGACACTAATACATGCTATTTCCAAATTGTGGTTACAGATTTGAACCATCTCACTACTGACAGCATAGTATGCTAGGTGTTATTTCAAAACAGAGGCTCCAAGAGCCAGTTACACTTCATTATCCTATACACCTCATTAGCATTCACACAGCACTCCGCAGTTTTGATTCTCATTTAGAGGAAGAAACAAACGACAGATCAACGAGACAGCCTCTGAATGAAGGGAATTACTAGAGAGCAACAATTGCCTGCCTTCAATAAAATGTACCCTGCTTGCTTATCAACTTGTGCCAGTCCCCAGAGGGAGCACGTGCCAAATCACCTACAGATACCCACTGAAAGCTTGGCAGCAGAAGGAAAAACAGAGATGCCTATAAAAATAAGAAAGTTTTAAGAGCCAAGGAAGTTTAGTTTCCTGATCCATAAGAGCACATTGCCACTTTCAGAAGATTTAAGACTTAGTCAAAACTACACTGGTATTATATATGTACTTACCTTCCCTCCTATTTTTTTCCTATTTGTAATAACAGTAGCAGATTAAAAACTGCTTGTAGATATAGCAAGGCAACAACAACTCTGTTACTTCCAAAGCGGATCCAAGCCTCAAACCTGGAAACACAGAAGCATTAGTTCGCGTAGCAGGTCCCGCAGAGTCCTCCACCTGCAGCCCCAGATGTTATTCTCTGCTGATGCATTCTCCAAACACTAAGTAAATACACCCAGAAGGTAACACTGCTCCTTCAAGAGCCTGCAAAGGCAAGCCGTAACTCGGCTTCCCAAGGTCACAGCAGGCCGGCAGCCCAGCAGGAGCCGAGCAACTCCAGGGCTAACCGCGGCAGGCTGTCACACGTGCTCATGGCTGGCGCAGAGAGGGACTCCTTACTGGCCAGACCGCCAGCTCCAGGGTGGGCAAACCCAAAGGGCCGCTTTCCTTAGGAGAGTAAGACTCAGGCTACAATCGCGGCAACCCCGTTCCCAAAACACCCACCCCTTTTAAGCAGCAAAGCCCCGGCCTGCGTTCGGCGGGGCGGCGCAGGGAGGTGGCAGAGGCCTGCCGCGGGACGGG